CAAGGGGGGAAGCAGGGGCCGAAGTGGGAGAACAGCAAAGCCACCTCTCGCAGTGGCAGTGAGAAACTGCTGCGTTGGAGCCTGTCACCCAGCTTCTGGAGCTCTCAGGCTTTGCAATACGGATGTTAAATTACCCAGTCTGAGAGGTGTTGCCTTATGCACATCTAATTTGGCTGTAGTTTAAAAAGCAACCCAGTGGAAAGTCACACTGTTCAGTTCCTATAAGCTCATGCCCAAGTTTAAATTCTCAGTCCCCTAACGTTATCTAGCTAGTGTTCTTATAGGTCAGTAGTTGCTTTAAGCTGGGCTCACCTCTCTTTCTGGGGAAATACAGTTTAAGACCTGGGGTCTGCTTTAATTTGTGTTAGAACTTGTGCATGTTGTACAACCACAGAAACACTGATAGCCTTCCCCTTTTCTCATGGTTCTCCTGAGAAACAGAAAAATTCACCCCTAATGAACAGGAAGGATGCTCCTAGATATATTCAGGGTAAAGATGCCTGAATTGGTTCAGGGGTGGACAAGCATGGAAGAGTGAGAGGATGCAGTAATGTAGCCCCATAATGGATTAGTCCAATTCAAGTGCATAAACCCAAGAGCCAGTCACTGATGGGGCTGCTGAAGGCAAGACCTGAAAGTGTTGAAAAACCACAAGGCTGAGGCTGCCAGGTGTGCTGGCATAGATGAAAAGTGACAAAGTCACGGTCCTCGGGCTCCTAGCTGTTGGGTGTTCTGTGCCTAACAAGGTTCACTTTATCTTCTTGATAGTTTGTAGCACATGTTTATGAACACAGGGCTTAGTACTTGCTTCCTTCCCATCTTTGCCATACTCTGTTACACATCCTTGGTTTTGGACACAGTGTTTGTACAGCTGCAGATGAAGCACCAAGACATGTCCTTTTAGTAAGTGCGTAGTCGAGTACACCCTAGGCTTTGAAAGCTCTGGTAAACACACTCTCTGTCTGTATAATCAGCCCTTGATTCTGTTTTAGATGCATGAGTATTCATAGAAAATAACCCCGGAGGAACAGTGTGGGCTAGATCAAGGGAGGGAGGCATTTTGCAGTCACCTGCTCCCCAGATATCCTTCACTGAAGGGCAAGGGGAGATGTGCCTTAGTGGCCATTCCTGGTTTGGCTCAGGAGCAGTCCTGGGCCACAGTGCTCAGGTCAGGATGCAGAACTCCTTGCAGCTGAGTGGTTTGGGTGCAGAGGTGGAGGAAGGTCTTGTCCCAGGAACACAGGCCTCTAGACCTTGGCAGTGCTGGAGGAAGGAAAGGATGTGTTGCCCTTAGACCTGGGTGAGCAAAGTTATTTCATACCCTTCCTCTCCTTTCAGCCTGAAGACAGTTAAGTTTGCACTGTTGAGGTCGAGATGAAGTAGTTGTAAGTAAGGAGATAGGATGTTAGCCTCCGTGCTTGTTCCTTTTTGAACCAAAAGGAGGCTGTGTGCTGAGTAGCCCAAGTGCTCTCAGGAGGACTCTTCAAATGACTCCGCTTGTCTCTCCAGAACAGCTTGCTAGATAAGAAACGCTGCAGTTCTGCTGCGGTGCTTTTGTCACCAGCCCCTTTCTCAGCTCACCAATTAATTAATCATCTTTTTCTCTTCTGCTTTCTTACCCTCGTTCATTTTCAGCAATTACAGCAGCAGTCACATTTGCCTCGGCAGCATCTGCAGCAACAACGGAGCCCGTATCCGGTGCAACAGGTCAATCAGTTCCAAGGTAAAAGTCAAATTCTTTTTCCTGCGTTGTAGTCAATGTGTGCCTTTGTAACGGGCATGTGAAAGTTCATGTGTTCTGTGAAGACCAGGGTTTAAGCAGTGTGCCAGAAGAGAAAGACAGGCTGTTGCACACTTGCCCATACTGCATATTTTACCAAAGGGAAATGCCCAGGTTTGTGTATTTAGTTAAGTTTCTAATTTCCTTTCTGCTCCCCTCAGCAAAAGCTGCATTTTTTATTTGACATTTGTTTTGCCTCTTTGACATCTGGATTCTCTGGATTTATCTTGTTTGCCTCCACTCTCATGCTTTTTTTTTTTTACCATCTAGCATCTCTCACTGTGTCTTGGTTTTACCACTCTTCGTTCCCCACTTTATCTAATTTGATGAGCAGAGAATTTCAGAGAGGTCATCCTTATCTGGAGAGGTGACTGATAAATGTCAGGTCGGGGAAACACAGTGAAATATCTGAGATGTAAATGGAGATTTTTTTTTAATGATCTCAAGAAAAGCAAGTACTATCTCGAGGTACTAGCAGATAACTGAAGAATGTAAGCACAATCATTTTGCTGTAGGAAAATAAGTTCATTCTGAGCTTTTTAGGTGAAAAGCATCAGCTGAATGGCTTCACTAAGCCTGGATTCTAAATAGACATGAAGCAAACGTGCACTTGCACTGTATATTCATGACAGTGTCATGTAACTGCAACAGAAAGCGAGGGAGGCAGGCATATTGCAGTCCTCGTACCCGGGAAGCAAAGAGGCAGCCAGATCTCCTGCAGGTATATAGCAGGGTGGCTCCTTCTAATCACCTTCTCATTTTTCGCTTTGGCAGCATGAATTGTGTATGCAATTATTTTTTTCCCCCCAACAAATCATTTGCAAAATCAAAACGTGTGTATGCGCACTGCCATACATTGAGATGCACATGTAAAATCTTCCTGCATTAATACTTCTTTGAAACCTTGCCTTCATATGTATTATTTACAAGAAATGGAGAAGAGAGTTTAGGCTAATCTGACAGAGCAAGGAATTAATTTTCATAAATGAGCTAATTTAAATATAAATATTTCACCATTTTTCCTATTTAGTCAGAAGAATGTAGTCCAGTGCAGTAGGTTATGTGTAAATGAGACCAGAAGGTGGCCCAAAATCTTAAAATCTGTTGCATCTCTCTTTTAACTACTCCTTGTCTGACCTCCTGTCTCTTACGCCAAGCACGGTAGTTAACAAAAGTAGCATGTGAACCACTTGCTGGTAGTGACTCCTTTGGAGGTTTTCAACTGCCATTTTTAATTAAAGAATAGCTAAAGATGCATTAAGAACGTTTTAAACATTATCTGTGTCTTAAGCACTACAGTGCTGGAGACATTATAAAAATTGACAGCTTCTCATCATGGAAGGAGGAGGTGGCCTAAATGAAGAAAAATCAAGGGGACCCTAGTGCTAATTGTTAAGAAAACGGTTTGATAGCATGGATAAAGTAAAAGCGGCCATTTGCCCTGTTCGAGTGAGATCCAGATGGTCTCTCTTCATGCTACAAAATGTTTCATGTATCTGTATGTAAGAGCTAAAAGCGTCCTCCAGAAGCTTATCCCACCGCAGGAGAAAGGGGATGCAGCCATCCTCTGCATGATGTGCAGAACTAAGAAATGACACTTCCTTTGTTCACATGCATTCCTCAGGGAAGCCCGGCCTGCCCAAGGAACAGGGCCCACCAGTCTCTGTTCTCCACGGATGTTCAGGTCCATTGTCTGCCACCGAGGGACAACAGATAGGGGCTGACTTAAGAACATTCAGATTTTGTTGTGTAGTTCATGACACTTCAAGCAACCATTTTAGAGTCACATCTTGCATTTAATAATGTTTGAACCAGGAGTAATTGTGTGCCTCATACTCTCAGAGCTTCACCTGCAGAGTATTGTATTTAGTTGGCTATGGTAGCGACTCGAAACCGCAATGAACCCGTGGCATAATCAGAGCTCCGGTAATTGTTTTTAAATAAAGATAGTAAATACAGAAGCATATTGGCTTCCCAGAAATCGATAGCTCCCCCCAGCCCTGAAAGAAAGACGCAGGCATGGTTCAGTTATCTGCCGCGGTGTGGAATTTAACAAGGTTAGGATTTTCTGGTTTCCCATCACTGGCCTAAGGTGGAGTAAAATGTGCTTATAATATTGATTCACTAATACACTCTCCCTGCTTTAAACGTCCACAAAAAACAATTTTTCTTCTTTCCATAGACTTAATCAGTAACAATGATATAGAAAATCCATTCATTTATGCCTCCTGAGCTATTAAAAAATTGATTGGCCTTCTGAGCTTGACATTTCCATTTTCAAGGCTTACTTTTGAAAGACAATGGAGATATTTAAAAGAGAGCTTCAAATGGCAAACTGCAGTTCAGCTGCCTTGCTGCCATTGAAGAAGGCCAGTGGAAGCTTCCTCATTTGTTTGCTAGAAGCTGAATGAGGCTTATCTGAAGAAGAAGAGTGCTACTCAGTCATGGCACATACAGCTTTGAAGTCTTAGGGACTTTTTTTTCATGGAGGAGGGTGAACATTGTCACTGGTCCTGGGGTAAAAAAAAAAATGTGCAAAAAGAAAGACTCACATTTACTTTTGAAAGGGAACTTTGACTCCCAGGTTACTGCTTAAAAATTTGATCTCTGATCCTAGTGGAGTAGGAGAAAGGCAGGACTATTTTAGCCCTGTAGCTCCTCTATCTCTAGCTTAGGTACTTGAGTGGGTTATTATCAGGGAGGCAACTGTGGCTGTAATCGTGCATGCAATCATTTTGCCTCGATTCCTCAAGAATCTGAAGCCATTAATCCCTTTGGGTACACATCCCAAAACTGCCATAATTGAGAATTACTTAGTGAGTAAATCGTTGGCCTTTTAACCTTGCCAGCCTCATTTCAGGCCTTAAGGGAAATTAGGCTGCTCGTCTGCATCGATGGTATTCTCTGCTAAACAGCGTCCCTCTTCACAATTGACTGTGTAACATGACCAGTGATCCCTCTTTAGTGTGGCACTTGAGCTGTGTTGACTCTCACCTTCGAGGAGAGGGGACTTGGCAGGTTGGGACAGAGGCTGCAGCCAGAGAGAGCTGGGGAGCACATAATCTCTGCAGTGCCACTGATACTGGGCAGCAGGCCCGTCTCCCAGGGATGGGTAACCTTCTAGCTCTCTGCTAGCTTGCACGTAAAACAGGGATCTATCCACTCAGAATGCAGAGCAACCTGAAATCCTACAGTGATGCAGAAGGCTCCTGCAGATTCTCTCTTATGCAAAGACATGTTAATTGCCATTTACAGGGTTGTGGGTTGTTTTCTTACCTTCTTCCCCTTTTGGTGTAGGTTCTCCCCAGGATATGGCAGCTGCAAGAAACCAAGCGGCGCTCCAGAGCATGCGGACATCCCGAATGATGGCCCAGAACGCCAGCATGATGGCGCTGGGGCCCTCCCAGAGCCCCAGCACGCTGCCCACAACCGCTGGCCAGTCAGACATGGGCATGGCTCCCTACAGCAACGCCTCCGCCAGCCAGCCGGGAATGTACAGCATGAGCACAGGGATGAGCCAAATGTTGCAGCACCCAAACCAAAGCGGCATGAACATGGCACACAACGCGGGCCAGGGAACGAGGCAGCAGCCTGCCGCAGGACAAGCGGTGGGAATGGTCGGCAGTTTTGGTCAGAGCATGCTGGTAAACTCTGCTCTTCCGCAGCATCAGCAGCAGATGAAAGGACCTGTGGGCCAGGTCTTACCCCGGCCACAAGCCCCACGACTTCAAAACCTGATGGGGACTGTCCCCCAAGGAACACAGAACTGGCAGCAGCGAGGCTTGCAAGCCATACCTGGAAGGACTAGCAGTGAAATGGGGCCCTTCAACAACGGCACAACATACCCGCTGCAGTCTGGGCAGCCGCGGCTGTCCAAGCAACATTTCCCGCAGGGGCTTAATCAGACAGTTGTGGACACGAGTGGAACAGTAAGAGCCCTGAACCCAGCAATGGGAAGACAGTTGCTGCAACCACTGCCTGGGCAACAAGGAGCCAGCCAGGCCAGGCCGATGGTGATGCCTGCAATAAGCCAAGGGGTGCCCACGATGCCTGGCTTCAGTCAGCCCCCAACGCAGCAAATGCCAGGCGGTGGCTTTGCTCAGAGCAACCAAGGCCAGGCCTATGAGAGGAATCCCACTCAGGACATATCTTACAACTACAGCAGTGAAGGAGCGGGGGGGTCTTTCCCCAGTTTAGCAGAGGGCACAGACCTTGTGGACTCCATCATTAAGAGCGGACCAGGGGATGAGTGGATACAAGAACTTGATGAGTTGTTTGGAAACCCCCAGTGAATGGGCTTGTATAGTCTGGTTGTTACGTTTGAAAAAAGAAATGAGAAAGCTGGATGTTCTCCCCATCCTTGGATTGGGGTTTTTTGTTTGAATTGGTTTGGTTTGGGGTTATTTTGTTTCCTTTTGTTTTTAATCGTGCAAACTGAGCTGATCTGTAGCTAACTGTGGAAGATTCAGGGGATGATGAAAGCATCGGCATCCCAAGACTTCCACTGAGCCACCTCCGTCGCGTGGCAGCACCCGCTGCAGGCGGGGTGGGCAGGGCGGGGAAACTGGAAAAGCCAGCGCATGCCTCTGGTTGGGGAAATGTGTTCTTTCCCCACTGAAACGAGGCTTCGTTGCACAGTGGTATGGGCAGGCCCGGTATCTCCCACCTCATGTAACTAAACACCTCGACTTCCAGGGGAGCAGATGGAAACGGCTGGGAGCAAAGCCTAAAGGCATCCGCGGGCAGTCGCACCGGCCCCGCTCAGACAGGGGCTGAACCCCGGGGCTGAGTGGGTCTCGGTGAGCCACGGCCAGGCCTGCCGGGCTGGCTCTGGGCTGTCACGAGGGAACGTGCAGCAAAATGAGACAAACCTAAACAGTCCCGGGGAGGTCACTGTTTTCACTGCAGAGCGATAAAAATCCAATAAAAGTGTAGGAGAACATAAATTTGGCGGGGCAGTGAGGACGGTTTGATGACAGGCCTGCAGCCAGAGCTGGCCTGGGAGGTCAGATTAACTCCAGGAGCTGTTCAGCCCCCTTGGGACTTGCAGCAGCGCTGCCCTGTCAGAGTTCTTGGGTGTGGATGGGCTGACCGGGGGTGCAGAACAGCAGCTGGGAGTGGTGGTAAAGGGCTAAGGGGTACCTGGAGACATTGGCCTAGGTCCTCAGTGGGTCCCTCTCCCTCCATCCTCCGCAGGATGTTTTCCCTTCACGTCCTTCCCCTCCCATCCACCAGTGTCAAGCAGGGTGGGCTGGCTGCGCTTTTTGTCAGGTGAGCAACAACCACCACAAAGGGGCAAGGCAGGAAAGGAGAGAACAGCTACGAGGAAGTGTATGGGGAGGGTTTGGCACACGGGATGAGTTTCTCCTCTCTCAAAAAGTGCAAGTTTGTCAAGTAGTGTTACCCTGAGATGTTGGGGCTCTCAATGTGATGTTGCATGCAACCTGATCTTCAGTTTTAAAGAACCATTTGGTCTAATCTCTCTGGTCTGCTGGAATAAAATTCACCGCAGTATCTGAAGAGCAGGAATCAGCAAAGGACTACCATAAAGACCCTACAGAATAATGGCTGTAATTGCTAGAAAGGTGGGGTCTGCCCAAATAAGCTTTTAGGTAACAGTGGCATAGCGCTCTCTCCACTGTGTGGACCAGTGCTGATCAGCATTGTGATGAAACCGGGGTATGTCCTGCACAGTACTGAGGTGCCAGCTGTTCTGAATGTCTAAGCAGCTCTTCTGAAGCTGCAGCCCAAGGCCACGGTGAGCTATCCTCCGAAACCTGTCCCCTTTCTGGTGTTTTCAGAGGACAGCTGCTTGTCAGGTTATATAGTGGTGCATAAAAAATGTTAACATGATCCACAGGCCAGAACCTTTAGGAACTTCTGCCTAATGCAGGCCTCTGTGAGCCAGAAAACGTGCTCCGTGGCGAAAGCGTCTCTGGCGTTACAAGCACCCGTACCAGCTGTGCCATTGCCTCCTTGTGCGCCGCTCTCCTTGTGCCTGGCGGTGCGAGGGGCTCAGCTGTTGGCATCTGCGGGAGCTGGGGGGCTTTTGGCACCTCCCTTCTCCAGCCCTGCCTTTCCCCATGGAGCACGGATATGTGTCACAGTAAGGAGCGGGAGCTGAACTGGCCTGGAACCATCTCAGCAGCCCGTTACGGTTCCCTTTGGTGTGGTAACCCTGTGCAGGGCTTAGCTAGGCAAGGGGAAGTAGCTGTTTTAAACCCTGTAGTGCAGGCAGGACAAGTGGCATTTTTAACATGGACTAGGCAGTCAGGGTGAGCCATCAGTCCAGCTTGCCCTGACAGCTAAGTTTTTAAAAAACGCTTTAGCTCCATCTCTTTCAGCTAACTCCTTTTTAAAACACAGTGCAAAGGCTTATTCCAGCTCCCGCTGAAGACAATAGGGCTTTGCCTGTCCACTGCTCCAGCAGGAGCTGGGTTGGGCCCTAATTCCATGAAAGAGAGCACCAGCTGCCATTTGCAGGTAGCCGAGCAGGTAGGTGGCTCTTGGCTGGACTAGCCGGGGCAGAAGGGAGAGGCAGACAGCCAGAGAAACGGCACCTGGCAGGGAGGAGGGCGCCGCGTGTGCGCATCGGGGTGAGCATGAGGCTGCGGGAGCGGTGAGCTGCTGTGGCACCTGGGTGATGGAGGCTCGCTGGGATGAGGGGACAGCAAGCCCACAGCGCTTGGGACAACACTGCACCCCTTTCTCAGGTGGTAGGGACCAGGGGTTGCCCGCCAGTGCCGAGCTGGGGAACGGGAGGTTAGAAACACCCAACCGCCACGCAGCGGCCAAATGCAAATCCGTGTGCATCAGGGAGATCCAGGCTTTGGGGAATAAATGGTGATGAAGACTGAGTCTCTGTTGTTGCTGTAAAGCTTCCTCCAAATACTCCGTACTGGGACCAAGTACTAGAGAGGTAGATTTTACTAGATTTGGGGTTGGTTGTTTTTTTTTTTTTTCTTTCTTACTATGGTGCTGATGTATATGTAATGTTAAAAAAAAAAAAGTTATTTGTAAATATGTTTTTACAATTCTACAGATATCACTGGGTCTACTATCTGTAAAATATATACATATAAAAATATATATATATACTGTTTGTTTAAAATAGAGTATTTTTATTTCATTCCTTAACTCATCCTTACTGCAGTGGTATTGCACTTCAGATGACGTCTAATTACTAATTTGTACTGTATCCCTGACAGCAACTTGCTCCATTTTATTCAGATTTTTCTAGTTTTCTGTTTTTACTTTGTACATTAAGCATTGCTTATTTCCTTTTAAGACCTGTACAGAGCTCTGAAAATGTAGAAAAAGACCTGATGTTAACATACCACTTTTAAAGAAAACAAAACAAAACAAAAACAAAAACAGCAACGGAAAAAAAAAAAACAAATAAAAGATGGTTATCTGAGTCATATACCAGGCTGGTTTCCAGCATCATCTCTTGCCCCACTGCTGCGCCTGGGTGGGTGATCTTCCAGGGGGAAGAGGGAAGGCGCCTTCGGGAGGGCCTGGTTTTGACCCCGGGGTTTCCGCATGGCTGCGCCCTTTGGGGCCGCTCTGAGTGCTGGCGTTGGGGCGTTAAGGGGGGTGTAGCCCATACCGGGCCATCCCTCTTGTCCCGGACCTGTTCACAGCCAGTAAAGCCCCCGCATCCCGGTTAGTCCCGCCAGGCAGGTCCCAGCAGCAGCCCCAGCAGCTGTTTGCCATGGGGAGCTGCTGGGTGGGGAGCGCTCGGTGGGGTGTCTGCCGTGCTTTGGGGTCCTGGAGCCCCTTCTTCGGGGCAAGGAGAGCTGCCAGGGCGGCCTGTGCTCTGAGCTGGGGTCTGGTCTTGAGCAGTTGCTGAGGGGCAGCTGGTCAGTAATTGGGACTGTTGGAGGTGGCAGCTCCAAATTTTTGCTTTTATTCCCTGTAAGGAGCAAAAGTAGGGAGTAGGGAAGAGCTTCCAAGGGGAGGACACAAGGTGGAGAGCCCAGGATATAGGAGTCCTGTGGGTGAGATCTGGGGAGGCGAGCTGGGGTGGAAGGATGGGAATGCGGGGCTGGACATAGAAGTTGGAAGAAGAGATGGACAAACCAGGGAAGCATGGAAATGCATGCTTAGAGTAGTTCCCTGTCACCTGCTACTACTACAATGTGAGAATTGGGTTGTCAGAAGCTTTTGGAAAGTGCATGTAGACTTGTTGAATTTATACAACCTGTTTGAGATAAACAATGCCATGTAGCTGGACACTGATTTCTCCGTGTTCTCAACCTACCCAGGAGTCATGGGGGATCAGACACTGGACCTCTGCTTGCACAGTTCGCTGTTCGGGATGTCGCTGTGGCTTGCCCTGTGTAGAACCTTTACGGTGAGGGTCCCCTCCTCTCCTTAACATCAGTCCTTTACCGTTCTGGGGCACAAAGAAGGAGATTGGCCCAGATCAGAGCAGCTTGCCAGTTAGCCCCGAGCACCTGCTGGCAGAGGGCTTGCAGAGAAAAGATGCTTTCAGCAAGAGGCCCCCAGGTAGCGTCTGGCTTTGAAGCTGCAGCAGGAACCACCATCCTTTCTGATCGTGACTGACAGACGAAGGTTTGTATCAACTCACGGCGTACGCTGGAGGCACAGCCCAGTGCTGCTGACTCCTCAATCAGCCGGCAGGAAATGGTGTGGTTCCCACTAGAGTTTAAATACTGACACTGACAGCGTCCATCTGTTAGAGGTGTATTTTGTTTTTAATCATATATGAGTGAGTCTTTAGCACTTTTCAATCATAAACATTCTGTCCTGGCTTACTGGGGAAAAATCAGTGACTCAGAAGACAGGTGCCATCCCAACTCTAGGCCTACTTCTGCCCTCTTGTTAGCTGGTGCAGCTCCTAAAATGTTAGGTTCATGTTAATCCCCTAGCACTCTGGCTTTGTGCTGCTGGATGATGCTCTGCAGCCTCACACCTGCCTTTTCTGGCATATGAAATTGTCCCTGTGTGATAGCAGTTTATTCCTTTAAGTGGAATGGAATGGAATGGAATGGAATGGAATGGTAGATGGGGTATGGAAAGCTGTCTATAAACACACCAGACAACTATAACAGGTAAGCCTGGAATGGAGCAATTTCAGAGGCAGAGACTGAACACTGTTGGTGACCTTTGGGCCTCCTCTAGCGTGTATTTCAAGCCTGTTTTGTAGTTTGGGCCTTTGTCTTGGTTTTGATTCTGGTGGCAGCACTTCCTGCTGCCCGTGACTGTCTGAAGGCATCACTGACAGGTGGGTAGGTGGATTTTCTGTGTTTCAGCCCACAGAAGGAGAGTTAGTGGAAGAATTCCCAATGATTTCTGCGGTGGTTAAATCTGGCCGTTGTACTTTCATCCCTGGAGGCAGGTGCCAGAGAGTTGCCCTTTCCCCAGCTGCGTCAGTTCCAGCCTGTTCACCATCACGATCTGTCCTTTCCCCCTTGGCAGCTGTTACTAGACCCAAGTCCTGCACCTTTGTGCTTGTTTCATTTCATTTCATTGTTTCAAATGCCATTTCAGCCTTTGCCACCTGCAGACGCTAAGTTTGCCTTTTAATCGCAAGCTAGCTTCCACTCACATGCCCAGCTTTTTCATATGAAAAGCTGTTATGAACCTGATCCAACACTCAATTATTTTGTGCTCAGTGTATCAACCTCAGTGCGCTTTTAAAAAGGCCAGAAGCATGTTTGTTATATAGACCTGACTGAACACCACTATAAACATGCAGTATTTTGGCCAAATCATCTCCTCAGAGGGATGACAAGGAAAATTTCTGCATGCCTGGCATTGCCTAAATAATTTCAATTATGAGGAGCTACCAAAATAGGCACGGCCTTGCTTCTCTGTTCTTCTACATAGTTTAAATCGACCGTCAGCACACTTTAAGTTCACAGTGGTAAGCCATGACTTCCCCCCGCTGCAGCAGAAAACTGTTTTCATAGTCAGTTTGCTTTTTATTGTCATTTGATGATTCCCAGAGCTGTGGCTATGCTGGGACATTTGTCTAGTCTTTCCCACACCCCAGCCATCTGTGCCTTGGTGGGAGACAATGCAGTAGACCCAATTGTTAGGCGAGCATCTGTGCCTTCTTTTTGTCTGGGCTGACTCTCCCTCTCACAAGTGCCGCGTTGTGGGCACAGCCTGTCTTCAGGAGGCTTTGTGTGAGCACTGGGATCTGCCTCCAGGAGGGCCCCACTTCTATGAGCTGAGTGTCTGAGCATGTGTTGAACTGTAAACCTGTGTATAAAATCAAAAGGCCTTCACAGAAACGTACCGTCAAGTGCAGCTTTAAATGTTTTCCTGGAGAAAGCAGTGTTTCCATATATGCTTAAACAGCCTCCTGCAGTGGGATTGGATATACTTGGAAAATTGGGACCTCTCAGCAGCATATTGCATCGAAGCATGTTTTTACATTTGTGCAAGAGCGGATGGCACTGCTGGGGGAAATGAAGAGGAGTGAAGGAAGACTACAGAGGCGTTGGCAAAGCTGAAGGACTTTGGGTAAGATGGGCTGATGCTTGCAGTGCCAGTTGCAACTAAATTACATAGTGAATTAATGGGTTTAGTTTTATTTCATTTGTTTAGGGTTTACAATACTGTACGGGAAAACAGAACATTTAATTGCAAATGCAGATGTGTCATGACATTCTGTCTTACTGTCTCTTTTTCAAGAGTGTCAGGAAAGGAGAAATGTAAAAAGCTCAGGAAAAACATGGATTTTACATTGCAACAGGCTGTTAGTAAAGAGCTCTGATGCTTTATTCACATGCAGCTTATCATCTTTTTTTGTGTTCAGGGAAAGCATAGACATTATTTATTTATGTTAAAAAACCCCACCCAGTCTTCAGGACAATTTACGTAGTTTCTTCATAATGCTGAAATCCAGGTATTCATCCAGAAAGCTGTTAACAATCCCAGCTGCACCCAGGGTTGTCAAGCAAATTAGAATCATCAAATTCAAATAAAACCCTGTTAACCTAGAAGTGGAGAGCAGAGAAATACTGTTATGAGCTGTATGTGTTCACAGTGAAACTGCTTGTCCACACCAGTTAAGAAGAGGTGTGCAGAATCAGTAAGGATCACTACTCCAACGCTACCTTGGGGTGTTTTGGTCATAAACTGTTCCTGCATGTGACTTTTGCGTGGGAGAAGAGAGATTCCTCATATCCTCTCTATGAGAAAACTGTGTTTCTAAATATTCCTGTGGAAGTTAGGGACTTGCTCCAGGATGAAGTTTCCTCATCCCATGACATGAAGACCTGTAGGTAGAGCCACAGGCAAGCTTGAGCACCTCACGGCAGCTCTAGGTGTAGGAGTATGGGAGAGAAGCCTTCGGGGCCGAGGGAGCGGTGTGGGTGTCCCTCACATCCACACCTGTTGGGCCCTGCTGAACTGGGAGGGATGCTGCTGGTTATCACTTTGACTTGGAGATGGATTTTTAGACCAGAAAGGAAGAGCATTGATCTAAAAAATCAGTGATTAGGGCACTTGCTGGGGATGGGAAAGGGTCAGGTTATTTTATGTGTACAAAATTGAAAGGTTTCTTTGGAGAATCCCATCACATTAGCATTGGAGAGAGGTCAGAGGAGCTTGTCAGCCTTTGATTTATAGCTAGCTATCCCTAGACCAATGGAAGCTGAAGGGGTTAGGGGCTCAGGCACTGCTGCGAGTGTGGGGAGGCCAGGAATCTCACTGGTGCCTAAAGATTTGATATAAGTAGCCTTTCTAGCTATGCTATGTCCAGATGTGGATTTGAAAATGGTGATGAGATTTTCTCTGTTTCAGGAGAGCGTGAAAAAAGTCTTTAGCTTAGCCCTTTAAGTATCTGTCAGAACCAGCTGGAGGGAAGGGTGAAGAATGTACCCTCACTTTGCTCATTTGCAAAGGCCTCTCCAGCACAGAAACCAGGTAGAAGGTGCACGTTCCTGGTGTGTTCTTAAAAAATCCAGCCTTGGCAAACCTAAACTGCAATTCAGTAAAGTGCACAAGTATGTGTGGTAACCACCTCTGTGAGCACACAGACCAGGTTTGTCTTTATAACCGGCAGGGCTGTAGTCAGTGAGTGTGGTTCAGACTCGGCATGAAGACTAATCACCTTCTCGCTACCAAGGCTGCTGGAGGCTTGCTGTATGTTTGGGGGACAGGTTCTGGATGCCTGGCTGGTGCTGACCAGCTGAATTGCCCACTGGAGGCTCTCACCAGGTAGCCCAGTAGCAGTGGGCCTTGGTGAGCAAAGTTGTTTTCTAGGGCTGCCAGACTGACACTCAGCACTCTCTGTTCAATGTAAAGAAACTAGAGTGTAAACCTCAGTCTAATAGTAAAGCCAGACACTGTTCTTAGGTTTCCTTGAAAGGCTGAATCTATTGGTTTAAGAGTACTGAAGCATGGGAAAGATTTCTTGAACAAGGAACTTTTTAGTTTGTTGAATAAAGAAAAGTCTGTTATGTTCTGCTTGTTCATTTATTTACAGGGTTTTGCTCCCCAAACTTCCTTAATAGTTGCTAGTCTTCTGACTGGTGTTGATTGCATCATTTGAATTATTGCTCTCTTACTGGGAGATATGAAATTATCTCCCTATATTTGCTCTGGAAAACATAGCCTCTCCCTTCTCTTAAGCAACAGCTCTTCCAAACTGGGTAAAGGATTGGTGGAGGTTGTAGTGAAGGAGAATGGTAACATCAGTACACAAGCTATGGAAAATAGCCCCGTAGTACAGTCCTTTGCTGCTGCAGGATTATTCACTACAAAGTAGTCTGACTGTTTTGTATCTTCCTCTAGAAATACACATCTCAAGTCTTTTAATTTTATGACAAGCAGATAGCATGCTACTTTCTTTTTATGACCGATACGTGTGCTGGAAGAGGAGCCTTAGGTCAGGACACCAAAGATAGTGTTGTGGCTTCAGTGAAACAAAACAGTGTTTGCGTGTTTATAGCAGAGGGGTGTTTAGCCAGTGTGCGTGTTACAAGATGCTGTGCACTTAGCATTCATTAACATATGCTTATCTGAAGCTGTGTCCTCTTATCTGTTTGGTGAAAGTTCACCAGCCTACAAGGCCAGATTTGCTTGCTTCCTTTAGTGCATTTTGCATGGCTAGAGTAAAGGTCTTAACATGATAAGCTTGAGAAAAAGTGAAAACAACAGACAGGCAGGCATGGTGCAAGCCTTGCCTGAGCAGTCTCCTATTCTACAGCAGTCCAGAGCCTGCAAAACTGTGTTAGTGTTTCCAGACCTCCCCGGGTCTGGTTGCCAGTATGCTCGGTACAAAGCAGGCACCCACAAGGTGAGGATCAAACCTTTCCGCTCTCGTGACCTGTAGCACGTGCACATCTTAACCTAGGCTTCTGCTGTAACAGCCAGACCTCTTCCCTGAGGGTTTCTGCTTCAGACCTCTTGCTGACATTTTACACATGTTGCATTCAATTATGGTCACTTTTCACTGCCAGTCCTTGGCTCTCAGCCCAGCTTCAGACCACAGCCCGGAGCTTTTAACCTGCATTCATTTGGTAACTCCTTACCTTCCCTTCACAGACTGTATGTAACCATGGAAGTACTTGTAGCGGGCAAACACGTACAACACACCCAGAAAGGAAGCTAATTCTAAGGAAGAAAAGATTAATAGGAGGGGAAAAAACAGTTAGAAAACTAAAAAATTAAGATTGTTGACATTTAACCACTTCAATTATGTTTTCTAGTTACACAGCTCTAGGGATTTTCATAGCTACTCATACCCTGGGAAGTTACCTTGGGAAAGAATCATTCAAAAGAAATATATGCATTCTTACACAAACTACAGGAGGCTCTTGGTATGGGTTTACAGATAGAAGTGAACATAGGACTGTCCAAGAAAACCTAAAAGCATTCCCTGAAAAAGAGATCTCAAGAACTGATGGGAATCTGTAACCCCCCCAGACTGGTGCCTATCCCAGAGGCAGGATAGCGTTGGAGCACTGTGGCTTGACCCGGCGCTGTCATTTTGTATTGTTATGGCAGTTCATGCTAAAGGGGAGTGTTTGTTTTGGAGAGAGAATCTTATTTATGTTGTTAATAACCTGCTTTGCATTTATATAGCAGCTTTTATCCAAGGACATGAGAGAAAGCTGTAGTGAAGTTAGCTTTCTGACCTCCCTGTGGGAAGAGTATAAAGTCACCTCCATTTGATAGATGGAGCAGGGTGTGTAGGTCAGTTGTATTATCCAGGACTAAGCAGTGCTAGTTAATTTTGTGTTCTTTCAAATCGTGTGAGTGAGCATTACAGAGGACAGCTTTTACTGTGTTCTGGATTAACTTGTGTAAACATACCTATGGGAGATACTCAGCTGAAAAAATTACTTAAAAGGGAGGCCAGCATAATCCTCCTTTTCCTACACGTGACAGCACATGTCTGTGTTGCTGGTTAGCAGCTGTGATCTTCCTTGATTCAAGTGTCAGTCTATGAGTATGTGTATTATTTCATATCCATTTTGTTGACTTAAGTGGTGTTACTTCGGATTTACATCAGATTTGCAGTGGAGATGGGACGCTAAGAGAGCCTTAAAACAAAATGACTGTTTTGGAGCAAATGTAGAAAATGGAGAAGCAAGCTAGTTGTTCAGGAAGGAGAGGTGTAATGGGCACAAGCTAGTTACCCTTTCTCCAGCACAGAGACTTCATGTTCCTAAAACATCAGCTGGAGAAGAGTTAATAAAGCAAAATGAAAAAGTTAGACTGTCACAAGTTCTAGCTCTACAAGAGTCCACCCCATCACTGGTAGGGGATATCATGGACTAACCTTGGAGAGCCCAGCAGAGTGACAGCTATGAAAGCTCTGTGGTGTCTGAATTCAGGACATTTGGCCAAAAGATGCCCCCCTGCTAGGTGCCTGAGAAAACATAATAGGTTTTCAGGAGTCCCTGCTGCACAGCTGAAGTACAATATCTGTGTCTGGAGATGCTGCTGTTACAACTGCACTTCAGTGTGCCGTGCTATGTCCCAGAACAAACAAAGGAGTCATAGCCCAGTGGTGGTGTCACTCCTCTGGGATGTAAAAACCCAAAGGTTTGCTGGCTCAAGCCCTGTCTCCATCAGGCAGGGTCCCAGCCACAGGGATGACCCGAGTGTTTTCAGGCTGCCTCCTCCCAAGGGACGATAGCTATGCTTGATGTCTTGTGAGAACTGTCCTGTAATGTGCAAATAGTTGTTAGTGGGATGCATCTGGGAGCTGCTTTTTCTGAATGATTCACCCTGAAAATCCACTGAAGGTATGATAAATGTGCCACGTGCTGGCTCCTTGGTTTGCAGAGAGAAGTGAGAGCTGGTGGGGCTATGTGAAATGCTGTGACTAAGTGGGGATTTCAGTGTCACTGAGCATTCTTCCAGGAAGGCTGTGCTAAGGTAATGCAATTAAAAGAAGGGAAAAAGATGTCTGCAGTCATTTACATCTTGATAAAACTAAAGTGTTTTAAAAATTTATGTAAAACTTCTCAGTCCAAGATACAAATGAAAAGTGTTTACCTTGATTAAAAAACCATCCTGCAGTCCAGAGGACAGTCAGGAATATTGGGTAAAACTCCACACAATTTTGTCTGCAGAATAAATTTGAAAGAATGTTAGGCTGGAAAGGAAAAGAACTATGGATGGTATTTGCAAGAGGAATCAGCTTTGGCCTCATTTTGTTGCCAGTAAAGTTAAAGCTATTGAACCCAGTGGGAGCACAGTCAACCCAGCATTAGTCACTCTTAAAAATTCTCTTCGTTGTAATGTCAGATACAAACTATTTAAACTATTTTCCTAGTATTTAAACTTAGACAAGGATCTGGATCCCAACTACATGGAAATAAATACAACAAATAATCCTAAATCAAGTGCCTGTGCATCAGAGGCAGGCAGGAATTCCAGCACACGGATCTGATGTTAATCGCTCATCTCCGTACTCGGTAACGTAAGTTGCGTGGGCCAGCGTTCCTGGGGCTGCAGGAGGAAGCACAGAGCTGTGCACAAGCAGCTGGCACTGCTCTGCTGAGGCCAACTGCCTTTATGAAGTGCTGTCAGACACAGACAGCACACGATAGATCTTCTTATGGCAGGGACAATAACACCTTTATTTGTGGACATCATCAGTTTTCCCACCAATATTTCACTGGGATATCTTTTCTTGGTTGTCCTGAATGAATTTCTTCTTAATTAGACAGCCTTCTATATTTAACATATTCTGTTATCTAATATGTTGCCTAATGTATGTCTCGTTATTGTTACCCCTTACACCTACAGTAACAGCAGATAGGATTGTTTGAAATAAATATATATACTTTACATATATATACTTTACATAGGGCTATTAGCTAATCGCAAACTGAAGCCCACCTACTTAGACAGGCTATTCCACTGTTACCCACTGTGAAGACAGAGGTTTTCTGTGCTCTTGTCTTCCACGTGTTTGGTGTTAGCCACAGTCCAAGCACAGTTTGCTAGATCCAGAATGTCCGAATTCTCTAAGTTAAAATCCATTAGCTCTCAGCCCCTTCTTAGGTTTGGGTAATCTGATTTCCTAGTTTGATCAGAATTTGAGCAGTGACTGTTTTAAATGAGCTGAGCTTACCCCATTATTACTAAAATAATAGCTGAACCATTTGAAAAGTGATCTGGTTTGGGGTTTGGGGGTTTTTTTTGAGCAAAGGATGCAAAGGAAAGTTAACATTTTAAGATAATGTTTTCAATGTTTTTACTTCTCTTCTGGACTGAATTGTTATTCATTGCCACCATCTTAATGATCTCCAAACTTACTGTGCCCGAAATGTTCTGTCAAATTCTGGAGCCCCAGTGACAGCTGGGGGCATGACCTTGTGCTTCATTCTTGACTTCCCCACCAGCCAAGCAAAATGACCTGCAAGCAAAAATAAGGGCTCATGAACCACACAGTTCCTCGGTTCAGTTCCGTCCCTAACACGTCAGTATTTTTTTAGAAATCATCATTCTTTCCATTTCATTTGACAGAAAGAGACCAATATTAGTTGAGATCTTATCTTCAAGAGTAACACACATGAGGAAGGGGAAAAATTGCTATTTCAGAAGTATATTCATTCTCTTTTTGCATTTGCTACTCTAGCTATGACTTAAATATCATTCCACCTCATCTGAATCCTAGAACTGCACCACCTAGGAGCAATCTAGTCACTGCAATGTCAGCGTGCTGCCTTAGCAGTGTCTCAGTAACCAAATTGCAGTGGTGGAGGTCACTTCCCCACTTGTTTGAATAGCATATGGTTATTTTGTTTTAGTGACACGACCAGCTATGATGCTTTGAAGTATAAGCTAGTGTTACAATCTTTGGAAACAAAATCTGGTAGCCACCTTTTTAAACTTATTTACCCATATCTTATAATGCATGCTTTTTCCTTCTGTTGTTACTGTCTTGGACTCTCAAAATTCGGTATGTTGTAAAGAGAAGAGATCTGCAACTGGGGATGCTGTTCCCTGATCTCCACCTCATCTGCTGGAGAGCTCTGAGAGCTATCTGTTGGAGGACCTACGCTCTTTCCACCTCCACTGATTGGAGCTGATAGTACTTACCTGTCTTGTAAAAAGCATATTTTAGAACTGATGCAGTGCGATGAAAAAGATAGATTACTTACTGTACAGTGACTAAATATCCCTTACCAATTCCCCCCCCCCCAGCTCCAAGCCAGTCAAACACTCTCTCTGCACTTCTGACTTGTATTTCTAGGATCACTTCTGATGTGTGCAAGTGTACCTCATTTTACTGATGTCCTCAATGCAGAAGTCTTCCCCTGAAAGTTGAACAGTGGCTCACAAGAACAAAAGGCAATACTCAGACAGCATTTTTCTGTATGCAGCAGACCTATTGGGCATCACCCTGTTTGACTTTAAAACTCCCTCGGTACCTAGAGTTATTTTTCTGGCTATGTTGTAGTCACCCTGTGTGAGAAACCAGACAGCCACCTGAGTTTACTGGAAAGATTTGTCTAAGGGGGAAGCCTAGAGCATACCTTCTGTCCTCCCTTCTGGGAGCAGTGGCATTAAAATACAGCTAGAGATATTAGTGGTGCTGCCCTGTGCACCTCATGTCTTAGCCTTGCAGCCAAAGACTTTTCCCAAAAAAAGTATTTTCCCATCTGTCTTCTCCCCATATAAGTAATTATGGGCTCTGTTCAAGTGACCTCTTAACCTTTGCTCTCCAGTGACTAGTCAGAGCATCTCAGCTATCTCTCTGTAAGGCAGGTTTACAGCACCTTTCGTTGTATTTGCATCCAGCAAGGCCTCCTCCACTCCCACCCACACATCTCTTGTTATGCCTGGTGATTCATCTGCTATTTGCCACCTTGCAGCCCTTTCAGAAGGGAAGAATGGTGGCAGGGAGCATGCTTCAGGGAGTCAGAAACCCACGGAAACACAAGAATTACCTCTGAGAAATATTTTCCTGGAAAACTTAACTGAAAAGTTGCTTTTTAACTTCTGTCACCCTCAAAATTATCTATTTTTTATGACAAATTCTACGTGCTGGCCAATCTCACCTGGCCTATCAAAGTGGGAGGTGAGCCATAGTGTTTTATGCAATGATGGTTTTAGCCAGCAATGCGTTCCTTAGTTTTTGGCCGCACAGACCCATTCAATGCTTACAACCAGTCCAGGACCAGTTTTTTTCTACTGCGAAGCTAAGGCAAGCCAAGGCATCTCATTGTATCCAAATCAGTTGGAAAAAAACCTTGAACAGATGCTGGACAAAAATAAATTTACTGAGGAAAATAAGAAGATTAAGGCACTGTAGGGGCCAAATTGTACTTGGTTGTTCAGTACAGTTAACCAAAGCAAATCGTCAATGCCACGGCATAACCCTGGCCTCAGCTCTAATGCAATTTGCCCTTGGTGTTGCTTGGTCTGCAAGGCTCTGCTTTGAGGGGCAAAGATTTGCATGTGGGAGACTGGGTAATCGCAGGCAGAAACAAGTTGTGATCATACTGTAGTACAGCTGGCCATCATAAAATCCTCTCCTCTAGTGCTTCCACTGTGACTGATGGGAACTTTGCTTCACCAGGGACAAGTGGGCTTTTATATGCCAATGTAAACCAAGCTGTGGCACTGCGTAATGGGAGAATTAGAGTCATGTCTGTCACCTTAAAACAAAAGGTGAGCCTGGTGTGCAGAACAAGACAGGTACCAACCAGGGTCTCAAAAAGAGCTCAGGAAGGAATAATTACTGTATTTTTTGTTAACTGCATAGGACGTGCCTTTTAGTTCCCTTCTAGTGAATGGAAAGCAGTGATCTAAGTCCAAATTTAACTTTTGTGATTATGGTTTAACAAGGGCTAAAGTAAATAATAAAGCAATGGGAGAGCTCTTCTGCCCCACCCACTGGAGGTGCTGTCATGAGGACCCCAGAAAGCACTGCAGCAGGAGTAAGTAAAGATTTTCATAGTCTTTTCTTCCCTCTGTATCAAGTTGTTCAATTCTAGCAGGCTAAATTACATGACTGAGGTAGTTACAAAGTATGCTTGACTTGCCTTTGTTTGATTTTTTTTGCTTTCATCTTCAGGTGGCATATATGGTTACCGAGTTAATATCTTTATGCTGAAAATACAGGACAAAGCAGGCTTTCAAGGAACATTACTCTCAAACATTTTATATGTGTTAAAAAGTCAGTAGAGAAGCAGATAGCTGTATCACAATGTATGCTAGCACATGTTAATTTGCATGGCCTGGCCTAACAACCTTTGGGAAAAAAAAAAAAAACAAACAAACAACAAACTTTTAATAATGTCTTGCAGGGTCCTGAAATTACTAAGAGTGATTTTAAAAGGTGCTAGTTCAGAGAGGCTTCAAAATAAAGGAGTAGTGGGACTCCAATCCTCCCTGTTCTCTCCTATATCAATGACTGGGATTTATTCTGTCCTTTCATTGGATTCCCTTGTTTTCTCATCAGTCTGCAAAACACGAATCTCTCAAGCAAATCGTAGTCGCTTAAAATGGATTCATGACTGCAAACCACTTCCCGTATTGTTTCTGCTCTGTCTTTCTACCTTAGAGCATTTCTTGCACAGCTTAATCTTCAACTGACCTAATTCTTTGAATAACTCATGGTTCTGAGACACTAAATCACCTCTGATGATTGCTAAGTGAAACCTGACTTCCAGCACTGCTTCAAGGAGTTCAGGTTGCCCCTTAGCACGTCCCTAACTCAGGACTGGAGGCTCAACAGAGTAAACCAGAAGAGCAACCAGAGCGCCATGAGCTCTGTGTGTTGTATTTTGTTCACAACAAGCAGTCATGGGCTGGGCTGCTCCTCTTACATGAGCTAGTTATAACACATGCTTACGACACCTGTTTCACAACATTCATTTGAACTCCCATAAATTAATCTGTGTTGGTTTACCCATGCTAGAAAGCATGCCGAAAGTAAGCCAAGATGTGATGTTTTAAATCAGATACTTACAGGGCTTTACTTTGGGCTTGATATCAGACTGACAGTGTGAATTAAAACACAGGTTATTTTGTCTTTTCTGTGATTTTGACTAAGATTAACAAATATGGATTAACTATCACAAGGAAGAACATAGGTATTCTCCCCCTCCCTTCACAGTTTCAGTACCTGTACAATTCCCTGAGTTTTCAAACTGCAGTACTTTTCTGGATAGTGTTTGTTTGTTTTTAATCCTTCACACTTTTATGTTAAAAATCAAGGCAAGCAAGTTGAACTTTCACAGAAGTTGATGGTAAATATTGCCACCAGATAGAAATGTTCTGTGAAGATCACAAGGGTATGTTGTAGCTGATCGGATGACAGGAATAAAAGAATGTAAATTTTACGTGCTTTTGATTTGCCTTCTGTTGTATTGGGCTTTTTTTAACCTGGAAGGGTCACATTCTCAAGCTTTTTTTCTGCAGGGTACAAATGTTATTTCAGTAGTTGAGGCTTTGAGAACAAATAAACAAACAATCAAGCCACATAGATAGGTTGCTAGATAAGTTGGCAGTCCTATAGATACTTGAAAAAAAGGCAGAGTAATTATTTTTGACTTGCTCTTAATCTCATACTAGTATAGCGCAAATGCCTCCAAAATGTATCTTGCTTCCTGGTGTAAACACAACTATATGAATCAACATATTTCAAAGAGAATAATGACAAACATTAAAAATGCTACCGCACTTTTAGACTGATACACAGAGAAAAAAGTATCTCGGACTTGCCCACTTTTTTCCCTAGTCCTTGATTCTCAGAGGCATATCAGCAGGGGATAAAATAAAGCCATTTAGACCTTAAAGAAATGTCATGATGAGGACATAATACAGCATATCTCATATTATTGCTGCGTGCTGTAAAGATTTGCTTTCTTCTTTCATTTCAGATACTTAGTATATCTCTCTATTTCAGGAAACAGTTCTTCCAGCACTTACAGTCCATCATCGGTGTATTTGATTTCACAAACTTACTCTCACTTTTGAGGTTTTCAGTTGTAGAGGTGCCTAAATAAGAAGTGAAACCAAGACACGGTGTGGCTTTGGGGGTAACTTTACAGCTAGTTGCAAGCTCTCAGAATAGTACGATTCCAAAAAGTCGGCAAACAAAACAGGATTGAAAACAAATTAGTTTCTCCCACAGGGAAAAGTAATCTGTCCCACTGAGCCAACTCCCTCTCAGACTACAGAGAGGGTAAACAATGCTCCAGTGAGAAAAATCCTACGAGTTCTCAGAAATTAAAGATACAGAACAGCCAGTTTATCATTAAATAACTTCCAGTACTTCAGAACTGTTGAAAACCTCCCCAAGCCCCAGCCACACAACCCCACAGATCTTACATTGCTGGAAGGCGGAAAGAAGAGAGACAGCCGCAAGCAAAATTAAATCACCAGCCATGTTCCCAGCAGCTTCCGTGTGCGAGCAGGATGTGTGTACAGGAGAAAGAGCTTGAGTGAGCAATAAGGAAAAACAACAGGTGGGACAATTATAGTGCTTTTCAGCACTGCAACAAACGTCTGCCTTAGAAATGAAACAGCCTAACTTTTTTAAGACAGGAGTGCAAAATTATGGCCATTTTTCATTCCTGAAAAAGTTCACATGCAGTCAGCCAGCCCTGCCTGCTTCTTGCCTGTGTGAAAGCGCAGAGAGAACAAAACCAGCCTTTCCTGCCTCGGTAGATTCAGCTGTTCTTTTATGCCTTAGATTTCAGTTGCAATCTCTTTGGGGGCGAAGACTTTTTGTTCTGCGTTTGTACGGGGGCTAGTGCTGCCAGGTCTGCATCCAGCACCAGTAGCACTGCTCAAAGCAGCAGGTGCAGGAGACATGAGGGGGGAGCGAGGCTTTGTCCTGCCCCATCACTTGATTTATGGGTTTTGCCGAACATGTACAACTTGGGCTCTGACGGGTGACATGACAGCCACTTTACAAGCAGTCAGCATGCAGAAAGGAATTGTTCAGCGTAGTTCAAAGGCTAAAACAACTGAGAAAGAAAAACATCTCCCCTCCTTTTACTGCCTGGAGTACACTTCCTATAGCTTATGCCTAGTCCTAAAACTGGGAAAAATTCTCTCAAGGAACATTTTTACATCAGCTAGCCCTAACAGGAAGCTTAATGCCGTTAGCCTGTATAATCCCATAAGGCCACTGGAACAAACCAGTGTTGTGTTTGTTGTGACTCCAGGATTATGTATTCACTTTGCCTCCAGCTGATGTTAAAGTGGGATATTTCATTGACTTTAGTCAAATTTGATCATTTTAAAGGCTAACATAAAACAGACTTTCAACCAGTTATTTTACCTTGCCAGATTTTAAAAGGTTGCTTCTTGGGTATCAATTCAGTATATTGTTCTTTCTAAAGATTGGAAGAGCAGATATACTGTAATAACAGTAGTTGGATGTTTGTACTTAGTAACTCTTTAATTCCTGATTTATGCACTTTAATTGCAGTTCTTGTAGTACGGGTTGGTTTTCTGACCCCACAGTTTCTCTATGTTTTTACAGGCTGGCTCAGAAGTGTTCAAAACATTGTCACCCTGCTGATATAGGAAAGTGAAGGCAAACTCTGACAGAACCGGTCATTTGAAAAGTTAAAACCACAAGGGCTAAATGTTTTAAGGCCAGCTGACATTGAAGTCATGGGGTTTTTTTCTGACTTTATTCAAAGGATGTGAACTTCAAAATGGCAATTGGCATGCAAAATCCAACAAAGATCGACTTAAAAGTAGGCAGGAATACAATCTAGGGCAGGGGGTTAAATCCACAGAAGTATATAAGTTATGTGGCCATTATAGCTATAGCTAGAATCTGCTTAAAACTTTGTTCACCTTCCACTGGTAGCAGAGAGTTTGTAGGTACCTATAGATTTATGATGCTTTTAGACATACATAGTCCACACCAAATGTTATGCTTCCTCTTTGTGTAATCCAGAATAGGAAGTTGGATCATATACAAAACAAGGTTGGGTTTCTTTATGGTTGTAGAAAGACAGTAGTACCTCAGATGTCCAAAGCTTTTATGATGTGTATATACATAAATAGATGCTAGGATCAACCAAGCTATTTCTCCAGTTATGTCAGGACATTTTGACAGATCGTCTGTGGCTGATTTCTCAGCTTGCTCCTGATGAATGTAATTTGATTTTGCATTTCCTTCACTTGCATGTATTTTATATGTGCTTTGCTTATCTCTGCTGTTGTAAATACATGTGTTTTCTGCAGCTGTCCAAAGATGTCTCCAAAGCAAAAACAGTGGCGCTGAGCAGTGAAATGTAATGTGAAGTCAGAAATAGGGGTGGTATCTTACCAGGCTTAAGCCGTTCCCATTTGGAAACAGTGGTATTTTATTGCTGCACCATACTTTGCATGTGTGCTCTACAGAGAAAATAAGTTTCTCCAACTGTAGGTTACAGCAGCAGAAACTGAGGCACTGGGTAGGGACGGGACTTGCTAGTTTTACGCAGCAGCTGGGTGTCAGAGCTGGGTGTCTGCATAGCCCCAGGATTTAGGGTAAATTATTGTTCCTGCCTCGTGCTGACCTGTGTGTCCCTGGCAAAGTTTCCCAAAGAGGCTGGCTCTTCTCTGTAGAGAAGCTCCTGTTGACCAGCAGCGAAGGCAAATCCCAGCAGGGCGGCAGAATGGCTGTCACAAGAGAGCAGATGGTTGGGGTAGTGAGATCAAAAGCATTTTAAGCGTGAAACCAGACTGATCAAATAAGCTCTTTTAATGGAGTTACACTGTCAAAGCTGCTCAGGTTTTGTCTCTGGAAGAGCTGAAAAGAGCTTTGCAAAGGGCAGTGTTCAGTCTATGCTGGGGTATAATGTTTTAAAGGTTAGCCACAAGTGGAAGTGCAGCACCTTTTATTTTTAAGCACCTTCTAGAAGACAGGCTCTCAAGAACAGTAAAGTTCCTCTGTCTGGAAGGGAAAACATACCTGAACTCTCATATATTTCACTGGAATCGTTTATAGGCTAAATCAAGATTATTACAATGTATGAGGTTAGCTCATGTATCAAAAGCAGTTTAGCTACAGCAGTTACGGTAGTGAGCTCTGAGGTTTATTAATTTAGTCTGCTTTTCAACAATTTATTACGAAGAACATGGGCCTGTGTGGCATTGGGTCATACACAGGCATTAAATTTATCCCAACTGTGAAACAGGTGAAAGTGGAACGTTCCTATTTCGACCTCCTAAATACCCATTGTAACCATGTCTGCTGTTGTTTCATATACACTTTTCATGGGGCCTCAAAGAAAGGATGAACAGTCCATTTTATTCAGTTAATTTTAAGGTCTGGTTGTTCAGAGTGCCCTGCTTTGTGGCAGTGTTACCAAATGATAAACCAGATTCTCACGTTCTATTCCCATCCTCTGGACACTGGTGGCAAGAGATCAGACTATTTTTGATGGTGGTGGCAAAGCAGATTTAAAAGGATTAAATAGAGCACTAGCTAGAGGTTTGGATTCTTCCCTGATCTGCACCTTCTGCAGCCTTATGTCACCTCCATCAATATTGGATATAAGTCAGGAAAGAATTGGTTCATGGTGTTCTCATCTGGGTGTACAAAAGATTGATGTGCTTTAACTCTCATCAGTGTTAATGTGAGTTGCTATATGCACATAAATTCCCACATGCCCACAGGCCTCTTGGATTTCCTTACAGCCTTTGAGTATCATTACATTTTTTTACTTTGGACATTGCAGGAACATATCTGGGACACAGTTCTGAATTGTGATAGAGAATAATATCTTTTTACAGATGTTTATAAAACATAAAATGTGCCAATCTTGCATAATATCCCATTGCAAGCATAGCAGGCTTTCAAAGTAGCAGCAAAAAGAGAAGTCTAGATTATTTTAAGGAGTACCTTCATGTAATTACAGTGTGGGGTTGTTTTTTGTTAAATCAGTGCTTTTCAGTTTTAAAATGTGTTTTTTTTCTTAAAATATCTTCACCTGTTCTCAGCTCTAAGGATCTCAGAAGTGCAACGGCTTGGGACAGATTATCAGAACCCACTGAGAACGTTGCACACACAAAGCATGTCTGCACTGCCATGTGAAAAAGGTGTGTGATAATGGTGATCAGGGAACACCTGGGGCATACAACTGGGTAGAGGCCAAATATTCCTCACCTTCCATGTGTCAGACCTCCTCTTCCTCCTAACCTAAATGTTTCTGGAAAAAGCGGTAAATCTCCACAGAAGAGGTACAGCCTAACACAAGAAGGGAATACTGCAAACCCTGCCTCTCCCATTCAGCAGGAGGGGAGGAAGAAATGTGGTGTAAAACGCTATTTCCCATTCTTTCCTTTGACTTTCCTTGTGAGACATTTAGAGCGCGTGCTGCAAAAGCTACCAGCCTGGAGGCGGCATGTGGTGGGCCTTGCAGTCACATAATGTCTGAGGAGAGAGTTAGGCAAAGTCACATTTCTTTTGTCAGTGCATGTGATTATGCCTGAAGATTAGAAGCAACTCTCCCATATTCTTCACCCGATGGAAACCTGTGTGGCTTACGCTCCACGCCTCACTCACAGGCTGAAGCCGCTGTGGACCAATATGAGTGCCCGTATAAGGCGAATTGGCAGCATTTCAGCAATGAGTAACAACTCATTAATAAGTGATGGGAGCTGGGAAGCAGCGGTGCTTCCAGACGCTAGGATACTTCCTGCATCGCGCAGTCCCGCTGGCTCTGCGTATGGTATCTCCGGTTTGCAGCAGGTAGTCTGGGGAAAACCGAGGGCTGGTCTGCGAGATGCAGATCCTGCTTGACTTATGTCTGGATCAAAAGGAGGTTTAAAGATTTTCCTGTTGCTATTGACCAAGTGGAAGCAGATCCCCGGGCCAGCGTGACTGCTGTGATATCTGGAATGCAGGGGATTAATGGAGATTCAGCAAGAGATTTGAAGACATGTTGGTTGTACATCTCTTGTCTCCCTTCACAACACCTAGTAGATTTGTCACAATGGAGCACTTGTTATTTTTTAACTTGCTAACTTTGGACAGAGAGCTATTTTAATTAGCGAACCACTTCAGCTCGAGGGAGTCTTTTCATCCATCCAGAAGGAAGTTTAATTTCACCTTTGTGGAAAGCAGCTATGCTTAGGAAGTGGGAGGTAAATTGTGCTCTCGTTCAGCTTTATCTGATGCCTTTAGGCAATAAGGCAGATTTTAGCACTTGCTCAGGTAGCTGTCGAGCCAGGCCCTCCAGCCTGGCCAGCTCTTCAGAGCAGCTTGCCTTACAGTCACAACCATGTGCCATTATTTATTGCCTGCATCTTCAACCTTTTGGAGATGCTGTTGGTAAATGTTGGCTCTCGGTGTCAGTGATGCTTTCTTGACCCTGGCTACCAGGGGAATGTAGCAGACCCAGTCATTGCCATAACTGAAAACCTGACAGTTTTCCAAGGAGACTGCTGTGGTTATGCATTCAGCTGTTCCCAGATTTCTCTCAGGTGGGATGCCAGATTCCTTGAGATTCTCTTGAAAGTCTTGTGTGACTTGACCATGCTAACAGAGGAGGTTAATGGCAGAGACGGGAACCAGAGCAGGCACCTGGCTGCCACACT